TGTTGCACTGTTAAAGTAGCAATGCTCGGTAAGAGGTGGTAATGTTATGGCAACACGCAACAGTACCACAAGGGCCATACTTTAGTTAATAGTTATAATGTGAAGCAAGATTTTACCAGCCCACAAACAATCCAAATGAATCAACAACATATAAAAAGTGGTAAAAATTGACTCAACGTTACAAACAGGCTTAGTTTTATTGAACTCGAATCAACTTCCAATAAAAACAGTAATTTATCTTAATTGTTTTTATTTTATAAATAAAGTTATAATATAAAAATTAAAAAAATTACAGATATTAAAATTTAAATTTTAAATTTTTTGAATGTCTATTTTAAATTTTAATCTGGGTTTTGTCCACACGTCTTGGCCCTTGTCGCTTGCGCACATGCAAGTTGGTGCAAGAAAACAACCTTTAACAATTGCTAACTGCCTGCACCTGTTATGGCATGTTTTGTTGGCAGAATGAAATAGAGAGGAATGAAATAGATATTTTATGTGAATAGAAAAGAGAAAAAAAAATAGAATAGAATAATTGTTATAATATTTAATTTGTTGAAATAAAAAATATAAGAATTAATTTTTATAAGTTTGATTAGTTTAAAAAATATTATTGGAATAAATTTAAAAAATTATTTTATTTTTTAAAGTAATTATAAAAATAATATTAATCATAATTAATTAATAAAAGAAATTATTAATGAACATTACTCTCTCTTATTATTAATTAATTAATTAATTAAAGTAATACTTATTTACAATTAGTTAATAATAATATTAGTCGTAATTAATTAACTAAAATTAATTGTTGAAAAGATAAATTGCTTTACAAAAATAAAATATAAATTATTAATTAATTGATAATAATAAATTCTAATGTTTTTCTTTTTTCCTTTTCTTTTCTCTTTCCTCTCCACCACTTCACTTGTCTCTCTACCTCCCATTTCTTCTACATTCCTCTTCCTTTCTCTAAGGACAAGCAGACTCCCTCTAAAAATCTCACAGCCAGCAACAACCACCGTTAGCTGACATTGGCAACCACCGTCCACCGCCGTTGACCAACGTCGATTTCATCCTAAAATACATACTTTTGTTCCTCTCAGCATCCTCCTTTCTTTTTCTAATTTTTCTTCAACAATTAAAACAACCCTTTTTCTTCTTTCTTCCATATTTCCTAATTGTCTTCAGCCACCACTGTCCACTACCATAGCTACTACCGTTCATTAAGGTTTTTTTGTGTTCCTTTTTTTTTTTTCCTTTGTGTTTCTGTTCAACTAATTGTGCAGACCGATTTTACTTCTAAGCAGCCAAGGCATGGGGGTGTTGTCGTTTCTTGTTTCCAACCGAATCTTCGACGTCAAAAATGGTGTTGGCAACTGTTCAGGTAAACTTTCTCTCTTTGGATTGGGACAAGATTGTAATTGAGTAAAATAAATAAGGGCAAAATGGCTCATAAATTATTGGCTGTAATCCTGATAGTCTCGGAATAACCATTCTTAGGGTGAAGTTCCGAACGGTGATTCCTTGTTTTCAAGGAATAGCTGATTTTATGGAATTTGTATTCTGAGTGTCAAAAAAAAAATAAACAACTAAGGAATTGCTATCTCTCCCAAAAAATTACCTGAATGGAAAGATTATTCCAGCGAACCAAACACACTATTAGTGATTTATAAGATTATTCCATGCTAGTTTTTCTTTGATGGCTTCCAAGCATTTGTTAAAAATTTGTTTGGAGATTAATTCTTGGCTGTAAATTATTGGCTGTAATCCTGATAGTCTCGGAATAACCATTCTTAGGGTGAAGTTCCGAACGGTGATTCCTTGTTTAAAGGAATAGCTGATTTTATGGAATTTGTATTCTGAGTGTGAAAAAAAAAAAAAAAAAAAAAAAAAACAACTAAGGAATTGCTATCTCTCCCAAAAAATGACCTGAATGGAAAGATTATTCCAGCGAACCAAACACGCTATTAGTGATTGATAAGATTATTCCTAGCTAGTTTTTCTTTGATTGCTTCCAAGCATTTGTTTAAAATTTGTTTGGAGATTAATTCAAGTCTTTGTCAGTATAGTTATGAGTATTATCCAGGTTTCTTGATGACATATCCATGGACCATGGGCCCAGTTATTTGTCTGACGCACGGGCCTAGTGGAATTCGAATGAATCTCGGATAAAGAATTTTGAACCCGTATTTGGTTCAGCTCGAGATATTAAATTATTAATAAAAAATTTTAAAGTTAATTTTAATGCAAATATATATTTAAAAATTAAGTTATTGATATTTTAAGAAATTTTAAATATTTTAAAATTTTAGACCGCTTGGATCTGACGGGCTGGGCCTGACCGGAACAGCCCATGTACACCTCTAGTTGTTGAATACCAAATTATGGTTTATGGTGGGAAAAGGGGAATCATATAGCCGAAGTAATTAAATGGGTTTATATTTGTCCCCAAAGGATTTTAACTGCAACAAATTAGGAGCTATTCCTTTCCAGTCTCTATTTTGTAGCACAATATAAGAAAGGCAGCTCTTTTCATTTTAATTGATCATTTGCTTCTTCTTTTAATAGATTTGGCAATTTGGATTAGCAATGCATGAAAGAATTCACAATAAACGAAGTCCTCAAAATGGGCCTTGTCTATATATTGAACATGTTCAATTTAGACGCACCCCCAATTGAAAAGATCAAGGCCCAGCCATCTAGCCACCTTGAAACTTGAGGCCAATTGTTATATAAAGCAATTCAGTTGAAAGAGAGGCCCACCTTGCCGCAGGATGGCTAAAATCACAGACAAAATTATCTCATAAACAGGTGGATAAGAATATTCAACAAGATTCTTCAACGGTAATGTGATTTGTTGATAAAATAGTTAATTTTAAATTTTAATAATCAAAGATCAATATGTATCAAAGTAATATTCAACAAGAATCATGGAAATTAGTAGTGAGTCCGGGAATTCTTGCTGAAATATTTTTCAGGCTGTGATTATCAATCCTTGCATATGCACGGTTTGATCTATGAGACAAGATGTTTCTTCCGAAGAGGCAAATAATAACTAAAAAAATCATGAGATATTTGACAAAAACCAAATATTCTTATAGCAGTTTGTACTTCTGGCAGGATGTTTTTTGCCTGCTTCTTAATAAATAAAAATTTTAGCTTATCCCCCCTCTCCCCCCCCCCCCCCCCCAAAAAAAAAAAAAAAAGACAAAAGACAATATCCTCTTTCCTCGAGAGGACATTTATATATGTTGACAAGATCTTCAACTTTGGGACACAGTTTCCCTTTGATGAATAGAAAGTTTACAAAGTTGTAAAGGAACATATGGTTATAGGAAACAAAATTTTACATGTGGAAATTAAAATCTCTATGCTGAATATATATATATATATATATATATGAAAATACAAACTTTGAAATGCTAGCACTAAGAGATGTTTCTTTCTAACTGATAATCTATCATGTCTGCTGTCATTGTTTGTAACATTTACCACTACTGAACCACAAAATCTAGTGGAAAATACAATGATCTGACATGGAGAGAGAGAAGTCCAACATTTAAATCTTCATTCCCTTCTTAGACTTCTCTGATGTACCTAAAACAACTATACATCATGCTAAAAATATTATAATATCTATTGCAGTTTATATATAATGTAATATTATTATTATTTCCTATAAGTAAAAGAATTTTATTCCAAAACTCAGAGCAATGCAATTGCGAACAACAATCTCAGCCAAGGAACAAATTAACCAGGCACAAGCCTGCACAAAGAAATACTCATTAAGGAATACAAAAATCCTTTTTTTTTTTTTTCTTTTTGGTCTTTCCTGATCAACCCAAAGGACAACAATTTTATGGGGAAGAAATTGTCGTTACTTCTTCAAGGTTATTTGAAAATAACCTGTATTTTACATCTCCCCAATTCTGACCAAAAATAATATCATTCTCTAATTGGAATATAAACATTGTAATTAATATCACCATAAGTTATAAACCTACTTCATATTGAATTTGGTTAACATGTATGCCTATAAGTATAAGTACTTGTTAAGATTAATTAAAATTCTATTTGAAGAAATATTTTTCATTTAACACACGTTTTCAATTATAAATTTTGAGAACAAATAATAATGCATTATTTATAAAATTCTTTCTATAAATATTATCTTTTTAAGTGGCTGTAACCAACTCTTTAACATTTTTCTTTCATATAATATAATCTATTTCTCAATATGTTTTTTTTTTTTTTTAAATTCCTTCCTTGCCACATTTGATAATTAATATATATGTATATGCAATTTGGCATCTCCAATAGCTTAGGAATATTTGCTCCATGCTAGCTATTCTCCTTTCTGTATAGTTTTAACCCAAATTAATTCACTGAGTAATTATGCTAGTATTTCCAGTGATGTTTGAAGAAAAATAGAATGCTTTGCCTAACATGTTCATTAAAATTCAGATAGGACCAAACACTCAAAAGACTTTATATACCTAGTAATAAGTTTTCCAAAACTTGATCCTTGCCTATTAATTCTTGTATCCTATATACTCTCAAACCCTGGTTGCTTCTCTCTTTCTATCTCATTTCTTCCGGCTGCAATCTCTAAAAGAACCTATATAGATGTTCTTATTTTTATGAGGTTTCATATTTGTTTTAGAGATAAGCTTTCACTATGAACTTAATTAAGGCTAATTTCAGTGATCAAGGATTGTATGATGGATGCCTAAAGGGCTTGCAGTACTGGCCAAGCAATATATAGATCTATTCTGCTATGTATGTCTTTAAGTGTGCTCTACAAAAGTACTGATATTTTATGTTTTAATTAATGTAGACATACAAAACAAAATCTTATGGCATCCCAAATGGTGCCTGAATTAAATTTGTTGATGGAAATATATATTCAAATATGCATATAGATAGCTATTAAGCCAAGAAAATTAAGTTTAATAAAGCAGGAAAGCATATTTTAGCTTATGTCAATTACCCTAATAAAGCTTATCTCTCACCATACTAGGGACTCCCACATATATATTGCACAGAAACACATATATCAAATACTGCAAAATTCGGATAAACCAAGAAGAATATGCATTCACTTAAAAGCAAAAGAGAACAAGTAGTAATGTTACATATATGTGGCTTCTGGAATCATGATAATCCATGGTCCAAACAAAGAAAGAAAAACAAAGGACTGCTTGATAACCTCACAGGGAAACTTAGCTAGTTCAATCTGCATCTCTGAAGGATAGCAGTCCTCAGCACCTCCTCGCTTACAAATCCAGTAGGAACTCTGACAACAACATCTTGAAGCACCAGCTCGTTCACGTTTGATATGCTGGCATGGTGAACATGAAGCTCTAGGTCTCTAAGTGCATCCATCAATCTTGTAGCTGGATAATTTACATCAGGAGATTGAACCCGAATCATGGCTTCGGATCCTACAATCTTGACATCAACTTCCATTGTCTTTGGCCCAAAATTAGAGGATCGCGTTGTATTGTCAAGTGTAGATGTTATGCTTTGATTATCAAAAACACTGATCTCATTCAACTTGGATTTTAGCGATTGTACTTGGAGTTTGGCCTCCAGTTCATTGATCGTGGATCTGAGCTCCTTTATATAAGAAACTGCATCTGAAAGCAAAGATGCTTTGTCCATCTTGGACACGTTAGGAACCACAGATCGAAGTGCATAGAATCGATGATTCAGTCTCTCACGCCGCTGCCTCTCTGCTTCCACGTGGTTTAAAGGGGTTTCTTTTCCACTCCCGGGCTTTCTTCCTCTCTTCTTCAACCGGGCATTAAACTCCTTGTATGCAGAGGCAAAATTACCATCAGAATCGGCACCGGAGTCTGATGATGAGCGGCCTAAACCGGTAGTTTCTTTCTTGGGCTCGCCTTGTTGCTTCTCTTCAACAACACACTGCTTTTGCTCACCTGAAACCATTCCGAAATTAAGAAAAGGAACACTTCGCGTTGAAATTTGGATGTGAGATTCCTGGCCAGGTTGCTTTGAACCCAGACAGTTAATTTCGGAACCGAAAATTGATTTTGAGAGTTGCACCAGGCCCCAATCTTCTTTGATAATTTCTGAAGATCCCAGTTCAACTACCCCGAAGGAAGTCGAAAGACAGACTAATGTCTGAATTCCTCGCATTCGAGCTTCTCTAACTCGCTCACACTCGTACAATTGGAGTTCCTGATCTCCACTCAACCAAGTGTAGGAGCCTGAACCGAAAGTCTTCCCTAGAATACCGTCTCCTATAACGAAGGAGCGGGTCATTGATACGGTGTAATACCACTCGTAGTCAGTAACATCGCCATCCACCATTCTCTCAATGTCCATCTCTTCGTTGAAAAGAGCTTGCACCTCTTTGCCCGACCTTTTTCTGTCAAACTTGGACACGAATTTGGATTGGCTTAGCTTATCGCTGGATTTGCCTGTAAAGTCCCTGGTCCCCCGAAAATAGCCATCACCCCATGATAAATCAAGGTGGCCATGAGCATCCCTTGAAGCTTGCCAGAAAATGGAGTATATCCACCATCCAGGTCCGCTTTGGACGAGGAATTGGAGGCGTTGTTGCAGCGTTGGTGAGGCGTCTTGACCGAAGGTAATGAGAGAAGATGAAGAAGAGGAAGACATGTTAGTCCTTGATCCAAGGCAATTTCTTTCCACTAGTTCTCAACGTTTTGTTTGTGCGTAAGGTAGATTAAAAAAATTCAATGGTTTTTTCAAAGCGAATAAAAGTTACCAACGGAGGATTCAGGAGCAGGAAAAATAGGAAGAGAAGAGAAAGGGCAGAAATGCAGTAGCTAGCAGCTGTAGTCAGAGAGCAGCAAAAAGAGGAAAACGAGTGATACGGCCTGTTGGGAGAAACAAGAATGTCCTGGGCATTAAATGACCATTCTTCAGGGTACTGTTGTTCGTCACAACCTTGGCACCATTATCACGTGGAGATACTATTTTGGGATCAGCCCAAAAGATCAAGATTTGATTTTGATGGACATCGACTGTATTCATTTTGAGGTTCAGGGTTCCACTTCAGGGGCCTCACCCCTGCACTCATTCACACTTCTGGACGTTTTCGTGTTCAAATTTTGTTGGTCTTTTTTCTTTTTTTTCATAACCAGGAAGGCAGGATTTTAAAAATAAAGATTACGGGTTTTAACTTAATTAAGATAATATCCAATCTTAGCTACATTTCTTAATTATTTGACTTATTATCTGACCCTTAATCCTAACTACTAATTAACTATCTTACCTTTAATATTTAATATTAAATTATAATTTTTTATATTTAAAATTGTCAAAATTTATTTAATCATTAAAATTAAAAAAATTGTTAGATAAATTGAACAAGTGGGACCCACTTTTTGTTTTGTCCTTATACAGATTTTTTATTTTTTAAAGTAATTCATAAATTCTTTTCACGTGGGATTGACTTTTTTATTGTATTTCCTGTGGGATCTGTTTTTATATTTGTTTTTTTTTTCTCCAACTTTTTTCATTTGGTTGTTGTGTGTTTTTTTTTTTATTTTAAATATTTAACACATATTTTTTAATTTTCTGTTTGGACAAATTAGAAACAATTTTTTTAAAAAAAAACTTAATTAATTTTTTTATTGGACCTACTTAATATTAAGGTTATGTTACGTGTTTTTTTTTTCAATTTTAAACAATTTTTTTATTTTTATATAAATATATATGAGATATAAAATTTAATTTGTTATTATTATTTATATATATAATAAATAAATTTTTATTTTTTATACTGCCTCATTTGATATCAAATGTATGTCACATGTCAAATAATTTAATTATTTTTTTCTTTTTATTCTTTTTTGTTTATAATTTTTCCTTTTTATTTAATAAATATTTTGAATTTTTTTTAAGATGGACCCATTTGATATTGTTACTAAAAATATTTTTTAATTATTTTTTATTTTTAAATTTGATTTAATTTTTAAAAATTTTATATTAACGAAAATGCTAACTTCACATCCGAATTTGATTTTTTTATCTTATGCATTTTTTAAAATTTTTTAAAAAATTTCCATGAGACAAGTTTTTTTAAAAAATAATAATTACTGATATTATGTGCCAACTCAATTTTTTCCCTTTTTTTTTTTTTGCTTTCTGTCATTACTTTACTTTTTAAGTTTTTCTTTTTCTTTTGTTTTTTCTCTCTTTTATATTTAATTAATATTTTTAATATTTTATTTTTTGTTAGAGTCGGCCAATTTTATATTATCGATTAAAATACATTTTATATTTTTTTGTAATTAAATATTTTATAAAAAATACATTAATGGATGTGTTAATGTCGCATATAACTTTGAATTTTTTTCTTTTTTTTTTAATTTATGATATAGGAAACATTTTTTTTTAATTAATAGTGCCAAATTGACTCAGCAAAATATTAGAATATAAACAAAAAATATTAAATACAAAAGGGTCAAAAAGGAAAAATAGTAAATTAAAATAAAAATATAAATCTATAATATAAATTTTGGAAAGAAGCCTCGTCATTGCTAATGTCACGTGACAACTCAATTTTTTTTTGTCATTATCATAACGGTTTTGGAAAGCCACTAGATAAATTTAAAGAAATAAGAAATTGCTACTAATTTTTTTAGTTGGGTATGATTAATCACCTATTATAACTTATTTTTTTAATAAAATTTTTTCAAAGATAATTTTTAAATCTACTAAACTAGTTAGGATTTAAGAATAAGGTTATGCATGGGAGAGAATTAGCATCCCATAGCACACGTTTTAAAAATAGTACTAATTAATTATGTGTTATCTTTTAATATTGTCAAAAATATATTAATTTTGATATTTAAAATTAATTTCATTAAATCCCTTTTCAATATCACAAATTTGGGTTTTTTTTATTTAATTTTCTTTATAAAAATTTCTCTTTTCTTTTTTTTTTCTATAAAAATTATTATTTCATTTTTATTTTGAAAATAAATCAAAGTCTTGTCATTAAAAAATTCTCAAAATGTTGTAATATTATGATAAATTTTCTCACCTAATGATTTATTAAGAATCACTACTCAAATTTTCTTTGAATCTCATCTTTGAAAGCAATATTTGGACTTTGGACATTTGGCCTAATTAACTTAAATTGAATTAGATCAAATTCGGCTTATACAATCAAGCCCACTCGAGCCCAAATAACAAACTCAATTGAGATGCCTGAATGGATACAAAGCAAAGCCCATTTTAAATAATCTGAATAAAATTAGGTGTTTATAGTTTTTTTGTTTTACTTTTTTTTTCCTTTAATTCTTTTTAATTATATTTATAAAAAAAAACACAATGTATGTGTACACACGGCACCTTATTTTATTGACCACAAACACAATTGACAAATTAAGTTATATAAAAAAAGTTTAATAAAGGTATGGATAATAAAATAATTCGCATTTGATAAGTTTCAATTCATTCAAATTTGAGATATGTGTTTTTTATTTGAAATGGAATCGAGACTATTCAATGAAAATTTGTGGTCAAGTCAACTGCAGGTATATGATGTTCCATCTTATCTTCACTATATATATTAAATTATTTATTTAATTTTATATTTATATATAATATATCAATAAAATTAATATTTAATATATTAATTTAATAAAAATACTATATTTGTGCATTTTTAAATGTAATCCATTAATCAATCCATCCATTATATAAATTTGATTTATTTTAATTTTTGTTTAACCCTCATTTAAGATCTCAACATGCCATCTTATGTTTATTTCATTTTTTATTTTTTTAAACCTTTTTTTAGATTTTTTTATTTTTTGTTTAAATGGATTTTGTGAAAAAAAAAAAAAGAAATAATATAAGTGCTCATTAGAGGTGTATGTGGGTTATGCTAGGCCAAGTTCAAGCTAGGTCCATATTTGGTATAATAACTTATTTGTTTATTTAGACCATGCCTGACCTAATATTTCGGATCTCAAATTTTTTCAAAACCGGCCCAAATTAAAAAAATAAATTCAAAACCCATTAATTAAGCCTAATTTGTATAAATAAAATTAAAAAAATAAAAGAATCCTCATTTTTAAAAAATAAAATATTAAAATAAAATTTTACATATATATACTTTTATAAGTATACTATTTTAATTATATATTTTATTCGGGTTAGACTTAAGTTTTAATTCTTTTGTCTAAGACGCAACCCAAAATTTAAATGGACCTAAAAATTATATCCAAACCCATCTAATGGACTTTAATTTTTTGTTTAAACTCTTTCAAAACTTGAGTAAGTCTTTGGACTTGGACGAATAACTCAGCCTTTGAATAGATCTACACGCTAATTTACTTTTTTCCTTTCTTTTTTTGTTAATTAGATAAACTTTACACAAAAAGGAATTGGTTGATAGTAATGGCAAATCAATTTATATTCGATGGATCTCCACTCAGTTGGGATGTCTACATAGTATCCCATTGAGCTTTCTTTATTTTTTTTCTTTCTAATTTTTTTTCACTCTTTTTTTATTTTTATTTTTTTATCTTTTTTAGATATCTAATTTTATTCTGATAATTTTTGGGCCTGTTTTAAAAATTCAGTTGAACTTATCTGAGGTCTAATTGCGTCATGCTATTTACATGTGTGTTTGGGCTTTAAAAATCCATAATTTAATTTATTTGGACTCGAAAACCCAAAACCCAATGTATGGCCCCAAATGGGTTTATTATTATTATTATTATTATTATTAATTAAGTTTTTTTTTTATTTTTAATTTAAAACATAGAAAATTGAAAAAAAAATCAATCAAGTTAATAGACAGTAAGTACTATGCATGACACTGGTAATCCACAGGGTAGCTTCATTGCATCTACTTACAGCTCTCTCTTTTTTCTAAAAGTCCTAATGAAAAGTGAAGCCTAAGGATTGTCACAACCACCGCCATACAATGCAAAGTCTGATAATGGAAAGAGTGCCAGTGACACCTCGAAAAGCCCTGCAAACCCAAAAAATGTGGGATTTGATCTCCCACCTTGGCTATCAAAATTGTGCCTTTATGAACACACATACACACACACACACACACATATATATATATATATATAAAACCTTTGCCAAAAATTTTTTTTTAATCTATTCAAAAGATCTAAATACCTATAACAGGAAAAAAAAAACTCATTCTTTGGAATGGGGAACCATAGTGTCAAAAGAAAAAAAAAAGGCATGAAAATAAATAAAAAAAAAAACTTTGGCCAAAACTTTAAAGATTGATTTGGCTTTTAGAGGTCATCTTTTGATAAACTAGGCTTAGGACAAGGTAGAAGAGGCCGAGATGAATGATTTTTGTCTTTTTTGGTATCTTTCAACAATCGATAATGGCGGATGGCACAAAGGACAATGGTCAAATTCTGGATAGTTCTTGATTTTTTGGCAGAGTGTTTAAGAGGGGTTTAAATGTTTTTTTTTTAGGGAGAAAATAAACTAAAAAGTTCTTTTATAGATTTAAAAAAAAGAGCAAAACACTGCGTTTAAAAGGAAGAAAATCCACATGCTAACCATACTTAATGACTCATGCTTCCATTTGAAAACCTGTTTCACTTTAAACTAGGGATCGATTCAATTGAACTGTTACTCGAATCGCTGGACCATCAGTTAAACCGCTACTAGACCATTGAATCGCTACCGAATTGCTTCTAAACCATTAATTAGGCTATTGATTGGTTAGTTCAGATACCTTTTTTTTTTACTTTATTATTATTATTTAACAATTTTTTTATTTTAGCCAAATTATTTATTTTCTTATTTATGCATGTTTATAAATCCTAGATGCTTAAAATAGCTATTTAATATTTTCTATAATAAAATAGTACTAATAAAAATAAAATTTAGATTTCCAAAATGATAAAGTTTAATTTATTTATTCTTTAAAAATTACTAATGAATAAAAAAAAATTTTATCCAACTATGAGATTTTAAAGAACTCCGCATAGTCATTCCTATAAAATCTTTGGGTGATTTGATTTTTTTTTTAAAT